GGCTATGTAAGTAGAATCATCTTTGCATAAAATGGTCTTCCTAGGTGGTGCCAAGGTCGAGATATTTCGAAAAACCGTATTTATGGTCTGATTTGGTTCGAATTTGGCGTATGTGGTTGAAACATAATAAATCATAGATTTCTAATAAATTGACCCTGAATTGGCGCTGAAGTCAAAATACAAAGTATATTCTACATTAAATACATGTTTTATTTGCGTTAAAAATTCATTTAAAAGCAATATTAACAAAAATATAACGATGGAAATTTGTCACGTGACGCCACGTCACGTCACGTTTCACACTTGGGGTTGTAAAAGAGAATTGAAACAATTTGTATTAATTCAAAAAACTCTAAAAACAACTAGAATTGCTCCAAATCATATAAAAATAAGTTTCATGAAAATAGCCATCCACAATTCGCAGAGTTTTGCGATTTTGTAAAAAAAGAAAAAATCATCTTCCATTTTTTGTCACGTAACGACACTCTCTTTAAATGCTTATATTTCAGGACCAAGCAGTTCGATTGATTTCATTTTTCGGTTAAATATAGAGCTAATTATGTGCTATACAATGGCCCAAAAAAGTTAAAGAAAACAAATGGTATTCCTTTTTTGTATCACATTGAAATCGTACGACTGTCACGTGCGCCACCATGGGAATGCCCATATGTAAAATGGAATTAAATAAATAAAAATACAAAAATATTAGAAATATATAAAAATGGTATCAAGTACTTGAAAGTAATTGAAAGTAATTGGAAAAAGTACTTCAACTACTTTTTCAACTCCTTTCAATTACTTTTGGTAATTGATGGTAATTCCAAGTACTATTAAATTACAAGTACTTGTACTCGAGTAGTAATTGATAAAAGGTAATTGTACTTGAAAAGAATGGATTACATTACATTAAACCCAAAGTAATTAAATTATTACTCATTACAATTAGTAATCATTACTTAACAGGTCTGTTTCTGACGTATAATTTCTGACGCATATTTCTGACTGTAGCATATATGTATATATGTATATACTAGCTTATACCCGCGGGTTTCACCCCACGTTTTTATACAAATATAAAAAATAATTGAATGATGTTATATTTTATTTCTGTGCCCATTTTGTTATAGCTCGTTATTTTTTAAGCGAGTTAAGGTATTTAGGCCGTTTAAAACTATGAAATTATAAAATCTCGTCTGCGCGCTAGGCATACGAAAGATATCAATCCCTCTAAGTTTACCTTAAAATGGTTGCAGGGATAAGACGCGTGAACGTGTAACATTCTTGGAGATGCCACGGCGGGTTCTAATATTTCCAACTAAAATTTAGTATCCTGGCCTTAATAAAATACCACTTCTCATTACTGTAGCAAATGTCTCAAGAGGTAGGTATGCATCATGAGAGCTTTAGATTATAAGGCCGAACCCGTCTCTCCCTTTTCCATTAAATGAAATTTTTTCTGTCAGTACGGCACTTATAAAATAAATCTCCATAACAAATTTAAAATACTTCCAGAGATTTTTTATCCTTCCAGAGATATATATTAAGACATTTTTAGTATCTATTGGAGGCGACATGCCTCCTTTTTTAATAACTCACATTTTTTCCGTGAGCAATTGATACATTTTGTATACACAACTCGATACCAAGTTCCAGTATTCTTCCACAAACACTTCCAGGGATATGTGGCAAGAAAAAGTCAATTTGTACAGGAAGTGCCACACCCCTTTTTCTTATAACCCTAATTTTCTTCCATACATTTAGAATTGATTTTACCAAGTCCCAGTACTCTACCGTGAACATCTCCAGAGATATGCAGTATAAAAAGTAAATTTGTACGGGAGGTACCATGCCCCCTTTTCGAATAACGCAAATTTTTCTCCATGAGTATGGAATTGATTTTGTATACACATCTCGGTGCCAAGTTCCAGTCATCTGCAATAAACACCTCCAGAGATATGCAGCATAGAAAAATCAATTTGCATGGGAGTTGCCACATCACCTTTTCCAATAACTCTCATTTTT